GCCCAGTAAAGACATCACGATATCTCACCGTCACGGAGGTAAAGGTGGGTAGAAACACAAAAGACTATGGAGCATAATTTACAACAAATCCTTTTATCAATAATAAAACCTTTACCATCCACTTACCTCGGTGAAATTTATAAAACAGTATACGAAAGCAATAACATTATCATCATCATGAAATCATATAAACTGTATAATATAATACTTATCACGCCTTTTGTAATTCAATCATTACACAACATATTTTACCTCTTTTACCAGCATACTAGTATCCATGGGGATCCATAGGGGTCCCGCTACCCGTGAACCCTTAACACTTGTAATCAGATTCCAGGGCCGTCCCCATACCCCGTCCGGTATGGGCGCCAAAACTATAAACCTCAATACTCCGTCCGGTATGAGGGTGGAACGGGCCGTCCCCATACCCCGTCCAGTATGGGCGCCAAAACACATAGGGTCTCCATACCCCGTCCAGTATGAGAGACCATAATCTCGGTAGGGTTCCCTACGGACCCGGTCCGTCCACCATCTCCCAGGATATCTAGTCAGGCTGATCACATTATACAATTATCAATTTACATAACCTTTCATTCCCCTTTTCCTCAGTCAGCATCATCAATTCACACACAAACAAGTGAAACAGTAATTTATGCCAAACAAGACAACATACAGCATCGGTTTCTCAGTCATTCAACCCATAATCAATAAAATAGTAAAATATGCACACGAAACTATAAAATGAAAACATCAAACCTCATACTGCATTTAAAACTGTAAAATATGCCAAATAACAGTTAACCGACAAACACACTAGACTCGGGCTCCATTAGCGAACTTAAGCAATTTCACACATTCGTTGATTCAAGAATTACCGTTTTATCATTATTGAACTTTAATACCGTGATAGGAAATAGGGTGAGGGGTCCTTACTCGTTTCAGGGTCCGAACACGGCTTCACAGTGCGCCTACAGGCTGTCCCTAATTTTCCCTGAATTTTTTTCGGAGAACTGAAACGCACTACTAGTACCTGCACGTGTTCCAAAAAATTCCAAATTAGACCCAGGGCCCCTTTCGGCCAATATCGCAATTCCGGCACGGCGGCTCCGCCGTGCTCCGGCGGTGATTCGCCTCGGGTTGGCCATTTTTCGGCCACACTTACATCGGTCCTTGTGATAAAACAACCCTAGGGCCCTCGGGGGGCCAAAAAATTACGAAAAACCAAAGCTTACCGGCGGCGGTGCTCTCGGGTGCGGCGGCTCTCCGGTGAGATTCGTGTTTTGGTGATTCGGCTCTGATCAACCTGTAGAGAAAAGAATGGTGATCACGGTGATATAAAAATTGCATCAAACGGAGGCTGGGAAGGGCCTCATCGGAGGCAAAAACCGAGGAGGGACGCGGCAGCGCCGCTGGGTTTCGGCCGTGTTTTCCGGTCGTTTGGCCGGGATTTTGGCTCTGATTTGGCCACAGGGGAACTCAATGTGGAAAAAAGAGTCGGGGGTATGAAATTTACCTCGATCGACGGTCGGAAATCTCCCCGGTGCGGTGGCAAGTGGCGGCGGCCGGCTCCTCCGGCGTCTGGTTCGTCTTCTCCAGTGAGGGCAGGCGGTTAGGGTTTTTGTGGTCAGGTGTGGGGGTTCTATTTATACCATTTTGCCTTTTGATCTCAGCCGTCCATTTTGATTAAATCTGGGCCGTCCATTATTTATTGAATCTGGGCCGTCTGTGCGCGTGCATCTGGGCCGTCCGTGCGATTGCATCTGGGCCGTCCGTGCGCACGCTTGATCTGGGCCGTCCGTGCGTGCGGGGACGCATCTGGGCCGTCCGATCCGCACGCACGCGGATCGCCCACGTGGCCCGTTCCCTCGACGTTGTCTTGCCACGCGGCAGGTCCTGGTTGGCCAGGGCTGCTGACTGGGCCGCTGACGTGGCGTTTTTTTTTTAAAATTAAACTAAATAAAATTAATACTAACAAAAAAATGCCCAAATTGTTTGGGCGTTACAAACTACGTGTGAACTATTATTCAACATTGTCAACTAACAACCATCCTCATACCCCGTCTGGTATTATCGTTACAAATATCATCCCTTAATACCCCGTCTGGTATAAGGGTAAAACGGGTTGTCCCCAAACTCCATCTAGTATGAGCGTCAAAAATACTAATTCTCGATACCCCATCCAGTATGAGGCGACGTTCACAGTAGAGTTCCCTATGTACCCGGTTCATCCACCACCTTTCAGGATATCCAGTAAAGCTACCATTCATTCATTCATTTAAACAATCAATTTTCTGTTTACATTTAATTTTCAGTTTCAGAATTTAACCGTAAATTAACGCAAGACAAACAATACATGGATCAAGGAAATACAACTGAATTATTTTACCAATTTCAGTATATTTTCAGGCATTTAAAGCTGTAAAATCAAATAATCGGTTAAACAACAATGATAAATGACTAGCTCTGCCTCCATTGATAACCTGTAATTAATTCTCGAAATTTTATAAATTACGTGAAATATCGTATTATTGATAATTAAACTTCAATTCCATAACAGAGAATAAGGTGAGGGATTCATACTTGAATCGATGTCCGAAATACCGAACTTTCTACTGCACCTACTGGCGATCCCCGATTTTCTTAATTTTTCTGCCGAGATTAAAACACGCTTCACTTACCTAAAAATATTCCAAAAAACCTAAAATTGGTGTTAAAAATTTTTTCCGGCCAATTTCAGAATTCCGACACGGCGGCATCGCCATGCTCCAGCGACTGCACTACTGAACGCGGCGGCGGTTTGCCTCAGCCTGGCCATTTTCGGCAAGTTTTGGCCGGTTTTATATCCATCCCTACGAGAAAACATGTTAGGGGGCTTCGGTTGGCCCAAAAAAAGTCAAAAAATAAAAATTTATCGGTGGCGAGATTTTCCAATGTGGCGGCTCCGCTGGCTCACCTTTATGGCTGAGCGTTTTTCTACGGACAAACAGTAGAAAACAGAATGGTGAACACAATGGTGGAAAAACCGCACGAAACAGGAAACGGGAAAGGGCTCATCGGAGGTGATTTCAAGTTTTGTCCGCGGCTGCGTCCTCGGGCTTTACCCGCAGTTTTCGGCTCATCTACTGTTCTTTTTGCTCTGATTTGACCATGAGGGTGTTCGGAATCAAATTTCGAGCGAATTAAAGAATTTTTACCCTTTTTAGCGGTTGGAGGTCTCTTTGACACGGCGGCAGGTGGCAGTCGACCCCTTTCTCTGGTGACTGGTTCATCTTCTCCAACGGGAGGCTGGCAGCTAGGGTTTAGGTTCGGTGTGATGCGAGATATTTATATCCGTCTCTGTTAAATCTAGATCATTCATCGCATTTGATCTCGACTATCCAATCGCGTTTAAAGAAAAAATAAATCTAAACTGTTCAACGTGATTTGATCTTGACCATATGATCGCGCATGAGGAGGCAATGGATCCAGATTGTCTACGCACAAGGGAACACATCTGGGCTGTCCGATCGTGAGCACGCATATTGCCAACGTGGTCTCCTGCATGGCACCGAGTCAGCGTGCCTTGCCATGCGGCGCGCTCTGGTTCGTCGATGCTTGATGCAAACAAGGCTAAAAATACTCAAGATACTCAAAGAGCATCAAAAGGTGACTTAGAGCAAATTTTAAATGATGTGAGCACAAATAGAGCTCTAAACCTAGAAAGTTTCATCGGACTAGTAACAAGATCAAAGACAAAAAAGCTTAAAGAGTTACTCCAAATTTTCACTCAAA